AGGTCACAGCTCTCTAATTGTAGCCAGAGTTACTGAAAACAAACTAAACCTGTGATGACACAAGTGTTTTATTTCAGGTTTTACTTTAAATTGTTTATCTTATTTCCAGCTCAGCTGAAAATTGCAAGCAAAATCTATATGCCAGTGTAATTGCAGAATAAATTTAGGTTAATAATACATAAATTAGCTTACAATAATACTTGTGTTTTTTCTACAATCCTAGTCTTACCATGTAATAAGTTGTGGTGCTGGCCTGTGGTTTAGGGCGTAGGTTTAAAACAAAATTAAATAACAGAAAATAACGAGAAAGGCTTTTTCTTAATTTAGTCATTCACCATGCAGGACGAATGAGGTCATGAAGAGTCTAATAACAGTGATGTGGATTTAATCATTTTAACTTAAGGGTTTTTATGAAATATTATCAGCTCGTAAGTGAAGCAAATTAACCATAAAGAAATGAGTCATAGAAATAGAAGAGCCTCATCCGCTATGGGCATTACTTTTTAAAAATCAAGCTAAAGAATTTTACATTGTGATCATTTCCATCTCGTTATCCAATTACTCAAGCATTTTCAAAGTCTGCATATTTTCCTGCCTACATCTAGTTTGTTCCTGTTTCATTAGTTGTTGTTGCTCACTGTTTTGTTTTTTCACGTCTGACGGCACCACTTAAAGAATCTGGTCTAGACATAATAAATTGCTCCTACATCACTTGCATCATATCTGGACTTTTGTGTCCTTCATACCAATTATTTTCAACCAGTACTATTTAAGTATCATGTAGGACTGTAGTACATATTGACTTTTTTTTTTTTTATGGTGTCATCTGAAGGTGACCAAAGTGTTCAGCATACATCCCCTGAGTTCTCTGCTCTCACAGCTGCCATGCACAATCAGATCACAGAGTTTAACATGCAGACTAACTCTGGATGAACTGTGTCAAAGGGGGCTGAGACACAGAGCTGAGGATTATTCCCGCCTGTTTGGCCCGACACCAGTCTTTAGATCATATTTGCTCTTTACCGGATGCTGCCTCAGAGTCAATGCACCTACAGTTTACTTTCCAGTTGAATTACAGAACACCCCCAGGATTGTTTGTTGAAAGAAGTTGCTCAACCTTTAACACACCACAGTTACAGAAACCTTTACAGCATACATCCATATTATCAGATTGGCTGAAAACAATCTGGCAACTGTGGTTGCTTGTCGACCACCAGAAAATTGTATTTACTACTACACTTAACACGACTTTAACCTTGACCAACACAACGCTGAGCCTGGTGGAAAGTGCACAAGGGCGGAGGCATGTTTGGGGCGGATGCAGGTTCAGGATTAGTTGACCACACAATCAGCACGCCCCTCTGCATACTCTACCTGGAAGCCATCTTACTGGCAACTCCTGAAAGTGTTCCCCATAAAGTCGTGTTGACAGACGGTGAAAACGGCGAGACGGACCAAAAAGTAAATAAGTACCTCTAAAAACGTTTACAGCCCTAATCAAGTCCAGAGCGTTCCTTCTATCCAATATGCCTTCAGAGTTTTATAAATAGATATTATACTTGGCTAAATTGGAGACAGGATTTCGCTGCTCGGTGGCTGTCCTGAGTTTTCTATTATTTGCTTTCACTTTAGAATCTTGAAACTCTTAATATCTGGTTACAGATTTCAGCCCGCTCAGCCCAGTCTTCATGTTTTGGCGTCACTCAGGGGCCTCACACTCAGCAGGATCTTGAACGGGCTCCCATCAAGCATGTTAATTTAAGAGAGGAGAAAAAAAATCTTCACCATATTACTTTGTATTAATAAATTCACCAGAGGCCAGCCATGCGTTCTGTCAAATTTATAGCCCTTTTCTTTTTTGAGCTACTGTATTGCGCCTTTTTATTTGTCAGTGGTTCTTAGCTTGAAATTCGTCTTGAGTTTTATCCTCTGTGAATGACTCATTTTCATGCATTTAAAATGTCTTTTTCTCACACTGTGCATGTGTCGCTCAGGGTTTTCCCTCCCCCGAAACTTGTAGAACAAACCAGACCACCTCCCAGAATCCTCCAAAATAACCTCGCTACAACTGTGGCGAGGCATGGATTTTGGCGTTTCTCACACACAAGCCCTCACTGCCATTCATGCAGCGCAATAAGCCAAACATATAAAACCATTCCCACCCTAATAAACCGGGGCCTTTTTCTCTGCCACAAAGGGAGCTGGCTCCCAAGAGCGTTACCACTCTAAAAAAAACGGACCCCTGTATAAAATAGCCTGCAGGGAACACTTCCAAGTGGAGGGAAATGCGGTGACAGAAACTCAGCCAAGGATATGACCCAAAACACAGGCCCAATCACAGCTGCTATAAACCAGGTACCCCACCTGATGCAAACGCTGCCAATATGTCAGAATCGGAAAAATCAGTAAAGTTTATACAATTCCACTTCACAGGGGGAAAGTCCGGTGCTTTTTAGGGAGCCTATGTTGCTTTTTTTTTCATAAATGTGTCTCAGAAATGCTGCTTTCTGATTAAATAGCAGGGCTGCTGTTTGAGGGTTAACAGGTGTAGCCTCATTGTGGTTATTATCAGTGAACTGCAGCAGCACTGTGAGTCTGCATCAGATTAACGCCTCGTTGTCGCAAAACTCTCCACCTCGCTTTCTTTTTCTTCCTCTCAGAACATGCTAACTGTCAGACTATTAGCTTTGTCTTGTGCTCCATAATGAGATGGATGCCATGAGAACGACAGCTGCTCTGTCTGTTCTTTTTGTGACTTGGTGTGCATGTGTCATACAGTATGTTTTACATGTATGTGTGTGTGAGTCTGTCTGTCTGTGTCTCCCTGAGCTCTAGCGGAGGACTGAGGTTTCTGAGGTGAGGCGTCCTCTCGCTTCTCACGCGAAGTGCATCTGATGTTGCACATCACATGCTTACATGTGTTCTCTGTCTGCACTGTAAGATAGCCCTAAATGTGTAAATTATTAATATAACACCTACAGTGCAGATGGATAGTGTTTGTATTGTGCTGATATTTGTGATAGTTCTTTTTCAAATCATAATTAAAAATGAGTGAGAAAAATGAGTTAGCAAAACTAAACAAAGATGTAAAAGATTTTTATGAGAAATTTACAAATAGTTTTTTGAAATTCGGGAACTTCAATAAGTGTAGTCTTTTTGTCTAATTTTTCAAATGAATAAGATATTGCTTAAAGCATCATTTAGTGACTTCTGGATTGATGAATACATTATTTCCATAAGCTTCATCTTACACAGTATTAAAGCCAGAGCTCAGGAAGCCAGAGATTTAACAGTCTCTTTGATTTTCTGTAACTGTTCCTTTTAATTTCAGTTTGATTTGAGTCTAAAAAAGAGAACTTGCCAAATTGCTTTGCCTGTGTAATGCAAGTTGTTAAACTAACCACTGGGATATTTTGCTTACATGAGGTAGTCTCGATTTCAAATGCTTTCAGATTGAACTGGAAGATTTAATGACTCTTGGCCTTTGTTCTCTCGCAGTTCAGTTTCAGTCTCCTGACAGAATGAATTGTGAAAGGATATTGCATATTCACTAATGATTTCCAATGGATGATTACAGCTTTAAATGCTTGTCTCTTTTCCACCTCTTGACCCTCTCTCATCCTGTCTCACTTCTCTGATAGGGTTAAAAATCAAAATCAGGCACCCAAAAGCACAGAGGCAAAGAGGTTAAAACGGCTCAAAAGCCCAATAGACAGCATGCATGAAATCTAAAGTTGGTGACACTCTGTAACCGGTGAGGAGATAAAGGGATGCAGATCCAGCAGTTGTAGAGAAAAAAGGAGAGGGGGCTGAGCCTTGTCAGGAGGAAACTATAAATGCCTGGTTGTCTGTAGAAGCTGTGAGAACACTGGAACATCATGCCCTGTCACTGTGGTTCCACTGAGGATATCAGAGGATTGTTCTCATGTGAGACACAGATGTACTGAGTGTGTGTGTTTGACTGTCTGTGTGTGTGTCTGTGTGTGTCTGTGTGTGTGTGTGTGTGTGTGTGTGAGACGCTCCAGAGATTTTAAGATATACTCTGCAAACAATTAGGAGCTGGTAGTGCTTCTCCTGTGGCTGTCTCTAATTAACACTGCAACGAGGCTTTAATTGGGAAGGAGATTTCATTTCTCTCTGCTGCCTGTCGGTGGCTGTCTCCGTGGTTGTGTGACAAACAGTGGGAACAAGTGAGTCCCTTGGCTGCTATCAGATGAACAACTTCTATGTCAAGACTACTTAATGTTTGTGTTTTCATGAGGTTGATCATGACTTACAGGAATTAACTCAACAAGTGTTCTAGTTAAAAACAGGTAAACCTCTTCTACTTCTCTACACTTAAGAGCCTCACTATTTGCAAGTAAAAGCTGCCTGATTGGAATTACCATGGCAACAAATGGCTTCTTCATTGAGGCTGGCGTTTAGCGTCGCCAAGTATAGAGCACTCACCTCACCACATAGACCAAAAGTACCTCCTGGAAGTAAAGCAGAGTGAGAGAGCCTAATATGTTTTTCTTTGCTCTTTTATTGTATTGCCGTGTTCCAGTAAAGGGCCCAGTCACATGGAGCCTCTGAGCTCGTATTCTCACAGAGAGAGCGCCGAGTCTCACTTGATAATGAATGTCTGTGGTGAGAATCCCATTATGGCGCTACTCCATCAAGCCTCCAGAAAACACAGGAGCGGAGTGGCAAAGGCATTTAAGGGCCATATCAGTCAACCCAATGAGGGCTACTGTGCAAATTGGATCCTCCTTTGTGAACCTCCCTCAGCACACGTCTGAGAGTGTTTGGACAGGAGAGATAAATGCATTCACACTCAGCCTTTACATTTGAACGTGTTCATGTCATTGCTTTATTGTCAAAAGAAACAGGTGGTCAAAACTGACAAAGCTGCACTTATTAAACAAGTGGACAGAGGATGCGATGGAGGTGGGAGGGAGGAGGGGATGAGTGGAGTTAGGGAAGGGTGGGGGGTGGGGTTGGGGTTGTCCAGCACTCACCTCTGAGTAGACTGCTGCTGTAGTTGGAGAAGGAGTCAAAGATGCTGTTGGATGCCATGACAGGGAAGCTGGAACGGTGTGGAGCCCTTGCTGCAGTCGCTCTCCACCAACCTTGGTGAGGAAAAAGAGAGGACTGAAACACAGAAATGAAGTACGAGAGAGTGAGAAGAGAGAGAGACAGATGGAGAGCAGAGAGGACAAAACTCCTGGAGCTCAGAGCCAGTTTGCAACCAAGAATCTAGGGTTTGTGACTACCGCAGGAATCCCAAGCCACAAGCTTGCAGAGAGAGCAGCAGCGTGTGCTAGCAACAGCACCGGGTAGACGTTTGAAAGAGAAGTGGGGAGAAGAGGGTCAGAGGGAGAAAGAAAATAAGAAACAGCAAGAGGAGGCTGTTGAGAGAGAAGCAGTTTAAACAAGGGCAAGAGCAGAGTTTGTGTCTTCAGGTGTTGAGGTGGACTCACCAGGGCTGGAGATGAGAGGGGGCCCACCAAACGGAGCCCGAGTGGTGGAAGCGGGCCGGTGGGGAAGGCTGGTTTGTGGTCCTCTGTCACGCAGGGGGGCCGAGGGTCTGAGGTTAGCCAGCTAGCTTGATAGCGTGGTCTGTCTTTGTCTTTCTCTCCCACGCTGGTTGTAGCCTGACTGGAGTGTCAGTGCTAGTAAAAGGCTAAAAGCCACAGTCTATCTGCATCCTCCTCGCCATCCTCCACAAAGAGACACACACACACACTCTTCTCTGTGAGTGGTGGAGCCCACGTCACATGTCACGTGAGGTCACCGGGCCTTTTCCTCCCTCCCCCCTTCCCCTCCCTCCCTTCTTCTCCTATCGTCTTTGCTTTTTCTCTGGTTTCTCTGCTTCGGTTTTTACTTTCCATGCTTCTCCTTCTCTGACTCGCCATCTTCACTCTCACTTTTCATTGGTCGTCCAAGTTTTCTATTTTCTTTTGAGTTCAAACCAGGCAGCGGCCTGCGCCACTGTGGCTCACTGAGGTTTGCAGAGAGCACTGAAACCACTGTAGAAAAGCTGGAGAGGCTTTGAAATGTATTAAGCCAAACACAAACACAAGAGAGAGGAAAGGACAGGAGCGAATCAGACGAAGAGAAAGAGAAAATGAGAGATAACTGTGGCTTTAGCTGCTGCTGGGAGACAGGAAAGTGTCAGTCTCTAACTACTGAACAACACTGAGCATGTATATGTGTACGTATGTCTTGTGCTAGTTTTATGTTTGTCTGACTCACAACACATCTGTGTTTGTAAGAACCGGTGGTTTTGGGCCTGCAAAACCTCCACCCTCACTTACCACTTGATAGTATCATAATCTTAGTCTCATTAGAAGCAGCACTCGACTGAGCCTTGGGTCCTCTTCTCTGCATTTCTTCTGTTTCAGTATCTTTCAGGTTATATCCTTCATCCCCCTTTTACAGTTTCTCTTTCTTTGGCCTTCTGTCTCAATCTTTTTTAGATTTGATTTGAACTCAATTTAATCACATTTATTACAGTTCAGGTTCACTTAACTTTGCTAAAAAAAACTTTTACATCAGCGTCCTTGTGCAGTATGAGAAAACAAAAACATACCTTGTGGCCAAGTGAAGTCTCTTTCCTCCTCTAAAAGCGCAAAGTGATTTAACCTGATTGTGGTTTTCACACTTTTTCATTTTGTAGTTGATTTACTACTTATAGTACAGTGGCCTGAAAACTGATTTGATACTAGCGTTGCCTTTTCTTTTTCTATAGTTTTGATGCCATCAGTTTGAAAGTTTCTTCTGCAGTTTTGAGAAAAACAGGAAATGATTCATATTGCTCCAGATTCATACAGAAATTAACTGACGAGCAGAATGAGAAATGTGTCGAAAAAGACTTAAGTGATGTGGTACTGTTTACCTGACAATCTTGCAGTACTACATGAGTTTGTGTGTTTGTGTGTGAGTCCACAAATCACTGGCATTTGCAAACCTGTGGTATCCACACTTCCTCTCTCCTTTCTCCTGTCTCTCAGTGACACACTGACCATGTCTGGCCATGGGACAACAGACCCAAACCACTGTCTGGTCACTCATGTGACCCAATTGCTTTCCTGGGAAACCTGTGTGTGTGTGTGTGTGTGTGTGTGTGTGTGTGTGTGTGTGTGTGTGTGTGTGTGTGTGTGTGTGTGTGTGTGTGTGCAGCTGTGTGCACGTTTCTGTTCTGTTTCTGTTTCACACTGCTTTGTGTATGAATGTCAGCCCACGTTGTCCTCTGCTAATTGCTGGACAAAACTGCTGCATGGACCACAGCATGTGTTTGTATGTGTATATACAGTACCATGTTCTGAGTGTGTGTGTGTGTGTGTGTGTGTGTGTGTGTGTGTGAGAGAGAGAGAGAGAGAACTTGCCGCTCTTCCTGGTAGCCCGCACTGCCCTGTAAATGAGCAGTTGCCGTTGAGTTAGGCGGCAGCGCGGGCTAAATGACACGGCGTGTCGGCAAGTGTGGCCGAACGCTGAGGCCACAGCCACGGCCCCAGGGCTTTTATCAGTCCGGCCACGCGGCCACTACAGGCCTCCGACTTAACCTCACACACAGCGAGGCTTCCTCTTCTAACACCTCTGCTGCCTCCCGACATGGCCTCGGCCCTGGCCTGCCAGCCCAGGGACAGATTACAGCTCTGTGTCTCTCTTGAACAAGAGGTACTGCTGTCACACATGCCCACGGGGAGACACTGCTCTCTGCTAGGGACATGATGGCTGAGCATTTGTGCTAAATTAGATATAAGATTCTTTAGATTAGGAATAAATAAGATAGGTGCAACTAATTCCTACAACTGGTGGAGGGTCTCTGCAGGGTTCTGGTCTGTTTTCAGCTGTTTAGGAAAGGGGATGCTCACGAGTACTAGGGTTGTAGTTGTTTCAGTTTATAATCATTTTACTTTATATGTTTCTGGTAATAACTCATGTTTTATTTTTCAGATTTCATTTAAGTGTGTAATATATTTTTCCATTAGCTGTTTTCTCAAGGAAAGACTGTTTCCGATTAATGTCAGTTTCCTTATTTTTGTCCATTTGTGGTAAGAGATGTTGGGTCTGGATTTTCAATGAGGAATAGAGAAAAGCAAAACAAATATAGGGCCATCCCACAGCATTGTGCAAGAACGGGAATTGGCTACATTGTAGTGTAGTCCAAACTTGACATTTGAAGAAAGCGCTAGAGGCCTTTTTCTCTGTCCTCAGTCCGCTCTGTGTTTTTTCTTCTTTGTCTAGGTAAACATCTGCTTCATGTTTTGAAATGTATCTCATGGCTTTGCACTGCCCATGACCGTGAGGGGAAAATAGTCTGAAGATCATTGTGGCCGTCTTTCATTCAATTCTTTTTTTCCCCAGCCCAGGCCTTGTTTATCAAGCCCCTGTATTTAAGCTTAATATAACTCCTGTTTTGCTGAGAAAACTGTGGTGGTTTAATCACTGTCAGTGGTCCTACGCCTCTCGGGTGTGGCTCGCAAGGCAAAAAGGACCCAGTGCGGTCGTGCGTCCAGCTGCAAAGGGGCTTATTTTGTGGTCTAAAAATTGTAGGCTTCCCCATATGTTCCCTATAAACGTGGAATGCAGCGTGGGACTTGAGGAGGCTTTTATAATGAAGTGGCCGTCATTGCATCAAACACCACGGATCTCGGATAGGCCATGGGAGCCCATTTTTAGGCCGCATACACGGGTCCAATGTCCTACCAGCTCACTCACACCTCATACTGTCCATTTTCTTCTTATTATATTACATTGCTCATTCATTCCATTAACTGATGTTCCTGTCCACTTTCAGTACAGCATACTCATAATCTGTTATTATGATGTATAACTTTGCTCAGATTTGATATCTGTGAAATGTTTTCATCCAGGTCATAGTTATCCAAAGAAGGTTAAAGTCAAGGGCAGCTGGACTTGGTTGAAGATACTAGAAGACGTCCCTCATCCAAGAGACTTCTTCAGTTCTGACTGAGTAGTAGGGAAACTTAGCTATTTAACTTCTGTGGGGTTGTTTACCAAGATCATCGATACCGCTGGCAAACAAACCAGCTGTATCCTACTAGTTAGTCAGAAGAAGTCTCTTGGATGAGGGACGAAACGTCTTCTAGTATCTTCAACCAAGTCCAGTTGCCCTTGACTCAGATTTGATGTAGAAATAGATTGAAAGAGAGACTTAACATGGAAGCTTTACATATTCCTCATATTGATATAAGACACTTTTAACAGAGAGATTTCTTCTGGATATGCTCGATTCAGTATTTTTTGAAGCACCCCCAAAGAGGAAGTTTGCACAAGACACAAATGCAAAACATGTAACAATTCCTAACTTTAACGTTAAATAAACTGGCATGAAAACACACTAACAGTTGAACAGTTGAAACTGTTATTCCAAAGAGATCTAAGTTAAAAAGTTGTAGCTGTATGAGAAATTAGCGAGCTGTAACGAGCTCAGCATTAATCTGTGTGTTTGTGTCACATGTGTGTCTACATGTGTGTGTCTGTGCTGTTGTTGTCAATGTAAGCGAGGCACTTCCAGATGCAGTGGTTTTAGCGTGCAGTATCACGGTTGGAAGTGATCACCAGGCCCATTATTTATTTATTGGCTCCAGCAGACATGGAGACTTGACTGTGGTAACCACACAGAGAGGAGGGGAGTGGGAGCGCCATGTCGCCACACACTGAGCAGGCCGGATCCCAGAGTTCCTGAGGAGCGCTACATGTATACAGTAACCTGCGGCAGGACAGCAGAAAGTCTATGACTGGCCATAACAGTCGGAGAGCGCTCTCGCTACAATGTGGATATTTATGGAGAAAGTCGACAGAGATTGCTGTCAGGAACAAAGATCAAAGATTAGCTGTGTGAGGACAGAAAAGATTAAGAGCACAACAACAACATGACAGCTGCCGGTTAAAGGATGTAGCTGTATTCCTTCAGTGCAAGGTTGTACAGTACCTCTGGCACCTGCTGAAGCTCTTTAAGACACATTTACCATGTTTACAGGTAGTAAACCCTCCATCCCCTTCACCCAAGCTCTTCCTGTTATTCAGAAACTGTGCCAACACAAAGACTGAGCATCCAGCTTCCTTTACAGCAGGTTGATTCAAAACCTTCACAACCACTGGCAATGAGCTGTTTAGGCTCATTTGACAATTTATGGCTGTCAAATAGTTCCTGCTACGTACCTTAAGAAACACACATAGTCTTTAATAATAATGATTTAAATATTTAAATGAGGCACAAGTAAAGTTAAGTAATCTCTGTTTTTTTGATCATCTACATTGTATGAATATTTCTCTATTAATGGCCATTAGAGTAGATATACACATATAACAGTGGAGCATGAGAAGTACGTCTCAATGCTCGTAAAAAGAGAAAAGGCTTTATATCTGCATTTGTTCAGTGCTACACACTAAACAAGGACAAACTGGTTTAACTTAAAATAATTTATAACAAGTTTGCTTTAAAAGTTTGTGTCAGGCTAGCTTAGGCTATCCAGATATAAAGATAAAAGTTTCAATTTTAAGGCTTCCAGGTTACTTTTTCAAGAAGGTTTTACTCCCACTTAAAATTCAAGCAACTACATAATTCTGTTCAGCAACTTCCAAGTTCTTCTATTTATCCCAACCTCCCTAAGAGGTAACACGTTTATTTATTTATAAATGCTCCGTATTTGTATAGCGCCTTTCTAGTCTTTTCGACCACTCAAAGCGCTTT